TGGATGAGCTTCGGAGCGAAGATCATTTCCGTGTAAGGTTGATCGGTGTGAATTGTGGCTCCTTCTGAGTGGTTTAGAGTGTAATTGGTTTCGAGGCTAATTATATTTATTGGGTCGTGTAATGTGGAATGTCGGATTTTTCAGAGGAGTGAAAATTCTTTTTCGAATTTAAGCAAAGTTTCTTCGATGGTAATTTTACGAGAATTGAGTTAATATGGCACTTGAGCGATCAATTTTCAATCTTCGATCTTTCAATAGCAACTTACCGCGAATTTTATGAAAAAATGTGAAACTTTTTAACACTTGAGCGATCAATTTGTGAATGATTGGAAATCCGAAATTCACATATTTAACCCTCTACTGTCGAAACTCCTCAACTTCCAGTTAGTTTATACATAATACAGAACTTTTCTTACCGATTTACCTTTATTACACATTTTCCTAATGAACATTATAGAATGGAGCGGCTGGTTGTGTTAACTTCGTTTTGATATAATAACGTTGAAGAAAACAAAAAACACAGAAATTTCTCTTTTAATCGTAGAAAAGTTTCAAGGACAGAACTTCACTGCAAATATGTATCTTAGTCCTTACTTGCTGTAATTTTCTTGTCAACTACACCGTTATCATCGTGTCGTTAGTAAATTGAACGAATTGTAAATATGAATATCGCAAATACGAGCTTCGAGTGAATCGGAAAAAAGTGACAACTCGCGTAATCACTCGAACGATTACAAATTCCATATCTCACGTTACACGATGTTCGTGTATCCAAGAATCTCTTCCAAAAAAAAAAAAGAATCATTGAAGTTTCAAGGACTGCGCTACAAACTTTCCTCTCGTGTTATCAATTGACACTCGCAGCGACACAACTCCTACCTGTACAGCAACTCCGTGAATCCAAGAAGACAACACCACTCGAGCCGGTCGTTTGCCATAAGTTCTCGACGATTTGGTACACGTTGTAGCATAAATCGTCCTCTACAAAGTAGACAATTCCGCGATATTTTTCGGGGAAGGATGCTCCTCGGTCGATGCGGAGCTTTCTCCGAACGACGCGCGACAAGCGTACACACGGCTGATTTATGCGTCACGAAGCCAGCGCGAGCCTTGAGCTCTTCGTGGGAAGTTTTCGCGCATAAATCCGACCAGCGAGATAATACGCCGCGGGCGATCCCGAGAGAGGGGAGTGTATCAGTCGTCGGGACGAAACTCGCTCGTAAAATCTCCACGAAACGTCCCCTCGCGATCGCTTCACGCGCACACCTGACTCTCGCCGGCGAACCGACGCGAAATTAGTTTGTAGTGAATTTGCGACGCCGATAATTGGCCGACAGTTTAACCACCGGTTAGCCCCTCGGTAATTACGCCGTCGATGTTATCGCGTCTAATTTCCCCTCTGCCCCGCGTCTCCTTTCTGCAGCATGGAAAATCGTTTCGATCGCGAGATCAACCGGCGTAAACGCGCGCGAGCAGAAAGTCCAAGTTTCAATTAGGATGGTTTGCTGGTCGTGCTTGGGTTAAACGATCGCGCGTTGACAAACGCGAGTAATCAGAAATTGGTGAAATTTCTCGCTGCGCGGACCCTCATTCTTTTCTCTCGAACGCGTGTCTGTTTTGCGGAAAGAGAGCAAGATGGTAGAGAGTCCATTGTTCCGTGCGGAGTGTATTTTCGTTGGAGCTCCGCCCACCGTGAAAATTCCATTGTTCGAGTATTCAAAACGGAGTCGGCGACCATTGCTGCACGTTAAGATTCGCGAATCGCGAGTTCTTCCTCTCTTCGGCGAACATACTCGAATATCGTCGGCCTTGACGCGTCGCGAGTCGCGTTGAAGTTTTCCTCGTCTTTTTACCTTCGAAAATTGATAACGATGTAAATTTTCGTGATATTCCTGCGATAACGATTCTCTTTTTTATTACTCGACAATGAAGACGGGGGGAGTAGTATGTGGGACGATCAAGGTTTAAAAAAAAAATAAAAGAAAAACAAAAATAAAAATTGTAAACGTACAACATAATAGTCTCCATTTTAATATAATGAATTCATA